TCATATTTATGAGAGAATTTGGAGAGTCTGTAGAATTGTTGTATCCGTCTCTGTATAATTTGATATTGGTAAACGGTACCTGTAAAGGTGGGCATAAACTTATCCTATGCTTTCTTGGTCTTCTTTAGTTACTTATATCTAGTCTGTCATTAGGTACTTAGTTTGGAAATACCATATAATTTCCTGGGGGCTTGTCATAAGCAATTAGTGACAGTTTAAAATAGCTGTGCTCTCTATGTAAAGGGTTGAGCCAGGAGCGAAGACCGTACCAGTATTAGTTGAACATGTAACCATAGGATAAATCTTTATCATTGCATATTTGCAATTGGCTAAATACATGATTCAACAAGCGAAGGTTATCTAAGCTGCCAACAACTTATCATGATGAGAAGATTATGTGTAAACAGACTTAACATTTTAAATGGTTTATCTAATGGGTAACAAAACATCATTTCAAATTTTTCATTATATTTTTCAGAATAAAATGATCGTAAGACTTGACTTAACACCTGGACAGACCATGGCTGGTCACTGAATTAATAAATGAATTGATGCAGTGATTTTGTACCTGCGGTTCCTCTTTGAACTTCTTAATGACCCTTTTCAGCATGCGAGTCTTTTTCTTGTCTGGATATCCAGCATATGTTAGTAGAATTCTTCCAAAATCTTTTTCCGTGATCTTTCCATCGTCAGGGTCATAACGGTCAAACTAAAAACACAGAAATTATGAAATTTTGATAATATTGTGCAAACATGTCTTTAAAAGTCAATTTCAAAAACGAAATTTAATCAAATACATGTCAAAGTTAAAAATTCAAATTTATTGCATGGACACTGACATGCAAATAAATGTATGTCAGTGTCCATAATTACATGCATTAACAGATTTTGTTCCAATATATTATGCTAATGAGGAGTTCAACCATGACAATTTTACCTCAATTCTGAGCACTTCATTCTGGACCTGTTGCTGGAAGGTAAGGAACACTGGTACAGTCAGCTTCTTCTTTCCCTCTTGTCCAAAAAAGTAGGTGACCAACGCTGAACTCACACCCTTCATAACATTTCCAGTGACAGCATGGTCACGGTGGCGCATGCCTATGCTAGTCTGGTTGCGGATTATCTGATGAACCTGGATATACATAATGACATACACAAAGTCATATATGTGATTTACACATACCCATGGTATTGTGGTGAGAAGTGATATCAGATGGAGAAGTTATCAAATCTGATGTAGCTTTACAGTTGACGTTGTCTTATAATTACATATACGATTCACCATGGTAAAATATTTGCTGTTTTCTTGATACTCAGTTTTGTAGAATTCCTGTTACTAGTAAGCTCCATAGGTAGAGTGTCAGACTATAAGCCAAAGGTGCTTGGTTTAATCCCAATTGGAGGCATTAAAGATAATGATAAACTGACACCCAGTGTTAGAACCTTTACTATCATGATGATCAATCTGTGAAAGAAAGGAATCTTGCAAGTAGCTTCTTGACAAGGATATACGCAAATTATATTAACCTTGCGAAATTCTTCAACATCCACATTGCCGTCTCCATCAAGATCGAACATGCGGAAAGCAATTTGGAAATTCCTTGGTGGTGCTGGAATGATCAAGAGAATACTAACATATCTAAGGCACTCTACATCAGCAAAGAATACATTCATAATGAAGCTATTTCCTTTAAAAAGAAAACTGATGTTTGAACCTTGTCATGCGACATATCGGTAAACGGTAGAGATGTGAAGATATAATTTTAATTTGATTGACAATTAACCTTATAATAAGCGTCTATCTCTATATAAAGGCACCCAATATCTTTTTTCCTTCAACATCCTTTTTACTGATCTATCATGGAAATCCATAAGCAGAAGTAATACAGTACTCACTGGAGAGCACGGTGAGGAGGAAGATGTAGTCGGAGAAGGAGATGAGGCCACTCTCGCCCAGCTGGTAGAAGATGCTGTCTTCTCCCATCTTCCACTCAGCTTTGTTGTGCTGGATACATCAAACAGGTATGAATAAGGAGTTCAAACAAACATGTGAACCTGAACCAGACAATCGAGTAATCTTTGAGTTTCTAGGAAGCATTTGTAATGTTCAATATCGGTCCTGAATGTAGTGATGGTATATCATATGATTTCAACAGTTGAAAAAGTAAGTCTTATGTTTTAATTACACAAGTCTGATAAAATAAACTTTCAGCAAAATTGAATCATTAATGAAATAGGACCACAGACCACAGACAATTTCTTTGCATTTATTTCTCTCATAAATTAATTAGTCGAATTACAACAATAACACTAACTCTGTCAAACTTGATGTGAACACTGCAGGTTAGAATTTTAAGTGAAGGAAATGTTGATCACAAAGGGTTTTAACTTGTATTATGGCAACGCACAAACATTGAAAGATCAGTATAAACATGGCTTTCACCATTTTATGGACAACTGTGAACGGCTCGTTCACACAGTGGACAAAATGAACAAACATCAAACAGTTAAAAGACCTCTGTGTAACATGTTTTGTCAGGGAAGGTTTCCGAAGGGCAAAGGCATCAATAACAAACAATCATCCAAACCAGACACGTGACATATTGATATTGATGTTCTGATAAATGGTAGTTTGGATAACCAGTCACAAACCTTCAAGCAAGTCATTTGTTTTTGGACAAGACCAAGAGTCAAACAATTGAAAGTTTGGATAATTGCATTCCAGTAATTCTGCTTCTTGTGTATAACGCCAAGAGGTACTGTAATGGGTAATGCTGAAATACTGGCATGATTAGTGGATGATATTTAAGCCTAACAATGGATAGGAAAAGGGATATGTCATCGTTACATGTAGTAATAAATTATAATTTAATAGTACTATTTCAAGGTCTGTGTTTATAAGGACTACAGATGAAGTGTAGTGTCATGGGTAGTGAAAGGGTTGTAATTAATTGGTATTTTTGAGGTCTCTGTCTATAGGACCACAGTGGGAGTTTCATATCATGAGGAGTAATAGGGTTATCATTTAATGGTACGATTTCAAGGTATCTGTTATAAGACTACTTGGAGGTCTGTGTCTATAGGATGACAGTAGGAATGTCTTGTCATGAGAAGTAATAGGGTTATAATGTAATGGTACTACGGTATTACAAGGTCTCTGTTATAAGACTATTTGGAGGTCTGTGTCTATAGGATGACAGTAGGATTGTCTTGTCATGAGGAGTAATAGGGTTATAATTTAATGGTACTATTGGAGTCTGTGTTTATTTCACTACAGTAGTAGTGTATATTGTCAGGGATAGTAGTAATAGGTTGTATTTTATTTTGAGTCTACCAGGTATGTTTATTGGACTTCAGTAAGAGTGTATTGTCAAGAATTAGTACTTGGGAAAGTGTAAAAGTGAACGTACTATTGACAGACTGTATCTGTTGGGGAAAGAATAGAGATATGATGTCAAGGGTATCAATGGGTATTTGGTTATATATAGAGCCAAATACCCAAGGGAGGATTGTGTTCAGCGCAGCGGGACTCACCATCTGGGGTTAGTCTAGCGAGGTCAGTTTCCTAGGGAGGGTAGCAGAGGTTGTGTATTGGTCATCTAGAGAGGGAAGGGATGTAAGAAATAATAAGCATCAGATAGTCTACAAAGCCAAGTGTCCAATGAAGGATGTACTGGCTAGT